AGAACATTCGCATTCTAACCATGAGATCTAGGTTCGAATCTCACCATGGTCGATTTGTCAGGAAAGAGACTTCCTGATATTATCGGACTGGAGGGGTCGATCCCAACGTGCAGCACCTTTGGAAAGTGCCTGAAAACCATACCACGGGTTAACCCAAGCCTTGTGAGTGAAATTTGAGGGGCCGTCGATAGCTGTGTTAGCACGAAGTCACAAGTCATCGTGGCCGAGGTCTTGAACGTGCTGGCCTTGTTCAAATTGTTGATCACGCTCTTTCCCAGAAACTGTAACTAAGGTCTTCTCAGTATAGTTACAGTATAAACCACAGGTGGGCTCTGTAGGTGTTGATTAAAAACACATCCGCCTGAGAAAGCGTTTGCAATAGGGATTGTCTAGCCGCCCTAGTAGACGGGTATCCTCGAATACGAGTGGCCAGCTATACATATATACATACAATCAGTAAGAGACCAAAGACTGATTGGACATTGTAAATTTTGTTATCATCAGTTAGAAACCACAGAGTAAATAGTCTTATATTCGGTTAGAGACCAAAAATAAATTAGACTGAATAAATATTGCTATAATCATTTAGAAAGCAAAGATTGATTGCACAGAGTAAAGTCTTATAGACCATTAATAACCAGAGTAAAGTGTATTATAATCAGTTAGTGAGGAAATATTCATTGGGTAGATTAAATAATGTTATTGTTAATCATTTAGAAAGCAAAGATTGTTTAGTCTGTGTAAATGGTATTATAATAATCTGTTAGAGATCAAAGATTGGTTGGACAGAGTTATATAATTTATATACTTAATTTATTTTTACCTCTGTAATTTCCCACATGTTTAACGAAACGTTCATTTTACATTTAAACATTTGTGAAGTCAACCGTCAACAGTTCAGGTTTTCGCCCAAACTTGTAAATCAGTTCTTTATTTATTTTCCCTTTGTCGAATACCATCCCATATCTAAACTTAGAACAATGACTCTTAGACTCTTCACAGTTGAAATATCACAAATCATTTTTTTAAACACGTTATTATTTGAATTAATTGTTTTCGTTTCTCCCCCTCTCTCTTTCTTTTTCTCTTCCTCTCTCTCTCTCTCTCTCTCTCTGTGTGAGTGTGTGTGTGTGTTAAGTACAATGCTTCTTGAATTTTGCAACAATTCGTTATAGTTAACGTTTTTGTCATTTAAAAACCAGTAGTTATTTTCACTAAGGAAGATCATACGTGTAACCATCCTTTTTCTTTACAAGCAGAAACATTGTCTTTTCACTAGAGTATATTTTTTATTTTGAAAAATATGTTTTTTGTATTTTCAATTGAATAAATTAGTAACAATATCCTCTCATCAGCGTATGTTCATCACACTGTCATCAGTGATATTTTAGCAAAACTTTTCTTTTTGATTATTTCTAAGACTGATGCTTATGCGCGTGATCTGTATTGAAAATGGCTGCAGTGCCTTCTATCTATATATGAAAGTCTGTGTCTTCCGTCTGTCCGTCCGTCACATCCTCTAAAATAAGGATGCATTGGCCGATCGAAACCAAATTTTTGGGAGAAGTGCAAACAAGTAAGTGGGTACAAATACAGTTGGTTTTACTTGGGTGCGTACCGTAGTACAATAATTTTTTTCTTTTTTTTTTTTGAATAATTAAAAGTTTTATTATTTAACATACAAAATATTCCCATTATTTTAAAAAAAGAAAAAATTTAACGATTAAAATAAATATTCATTTAATAAAAATGGAATATTGTTTTTTGCATATCTTTTTTAAGTTTTTATACATTTTATTTTTTTAAAATTCTCACATTATTTTGTATTGTTGAAATTATCGCTAACATTTTTTGTCGACATTTACAAACTCTTCGTTTAGTCTTGCAAACTCATCGATGAAATTTGAATAAGCTGGTTTGTTTGGAAAAATAATTTGAGGAATTCAACACGTGTCATCGTGTTGGAAAAATTCTAGTAAATGAAAAATTACCTCAAATTTTTTAGTAGAGAGGCTTGCCTCATGTTGAGTCATATCTCATACGCAATCATTTACCGATGTTTAGTCTCAACTCTAAAAGGCAATTAACTTGGACTTTGGTTGAGAAAACTAGACTAGGAAAAAAATCGATCTCTTGCAGCTGGAATTGTAGTAGTATCCACCACTAGGCGTGGCTGCGACTGGATACTTCTCACTAAGCATAGTTTAATCTAGGATGAGGCTAAAATGATATTTTGCGGTTGGATCGGGCGAAATATTCTGGAATGGTTCGTCTACGTCGCATTGAATCAATGCATCTCTGACATTGGTCGTTCTTTGTTGCAGGGATTGGAATTTACAGACTAAAACCATTGGAAGACTGAATCCATTCTGTTAAAAATAATATTAAGTGCTGTCTCAATGATTAAAGTTTAGGGTAAATAGCTGCGAGGTTCACCGTTCCATTCCAGACTTAAGTCGGTTATGTCTTGCTATTTGTACATTTTTTTTAATCATTTCACCCTAAACAAAGCAATAATGCCACTAAGATACAAGGGGTTACTGGAGGTGAAATAGAATCAGAAAACTTTAGTGAGGAGAAAGGACAATAAAAAAACAGAATTCAGAAAAGCAGAAGATGGCGACTGACGTTGCATTTCAATTTTTGAGGATTGTCGGTGGCAGGTGACAGAAATTCCAGAAAATTTAGTTAGAAACAAAGAAAATACTGCTGGATTACTATGCAATATCCATCCTCTTATATGGCAGTGGATGTTGGACAATTTCAGTAAGGATAAGAAAAGAAATAGAGGCAGAAGAAATGTAGTTCTACAGAAGGATACTGAGAATTCTATGGACGGATCGAGCAAGCAACAAGGAAGTTTTAAAGAAAATGGTAACAGAAAAAACAACACATATAATCAAGAAAAGAGAGTTGAAATTCCTTGGACACATGGTGAAAAGAAGCGGCTTAGAAAACTTCACCCTCACGGGGCATATTGAGGGCAAGAGAGATAGGCGGCTCGAGCCACTTACCTGGTGTGTGTTTTGTGAATGGATGACGAAATGGCGGCGGGGGTCTTAGCAAAGGAAAAAAACTGATAAGAGCCACACGAGATAAGAAGCTGTGGAGAGCCATGACCGCTTATGTTCTGAAGGGAGGCGGTAGATAGAAGAAGTATATGACAGATGAGCAAGAAACCGGAAGAGAGTTCCACAAGCGAGAAAAGAAACTATTAGAATAGAACTCACGGCTGCGTTTAGCTATTTCAACTGTGAGACCTAATTACCAATCTATTAGAACGCTTAAATTCTTGCACTTGAGGAGGATAAGGAGGAAAAATCATCATGACAATTGCCATAAAAATATTTATAAAAAAACAAAAAAAAACAGAAGGAAAACTCGTCACACCGGTGGGAAAGTGACTGCAAAAAATATTGAGTCTGAGTCATAAATAATATCCTTTATTGTTTATCAAGTTTATTTTTAGAATCCTAAAATACAATACATTTTAATTTTTTATATATTCCCCATTATTTACAATGACTTGTCCCTTATATATTATTAAAAAAGAATTATTCTTACAATCTAAAAAATGTTTTTTTTCAAATAGCCAACGAGGGTTGATGAACCGTGAAAATAAATCAATCATTCAACTTTCCATTTAATTTTTCTCAATTTCAATTCATTTTCCTATATTTGACATGTTTGCTAGTATAATGTAAATGGCGCAACCATTCAACTCCAAGGATGCCAGTCTACGAGGCAAATTCCAATCCATTCTACAATTATCAACCAATCGAAAAATGCATCTATCCAATATCTTTTAAGTAAAATTCCACAAGATTTGATGTGAAAAAAACAAACTTTCAACAAACTCTTGAATCAGGTTTTCGATAGAAAGAGTTTTCTCCATCGAATCAAAAAGAATTATTCCGACAATCCAAAGTTCAAATTACAAATCGGGGATACCAGAATCAAACAAGTACAAACATTTGAATATCTGGAAAGTGTTCAAACAGTGGACGCAAAGTGCTACACTGAGATTCAAAGACGTATTGGGATGGCCAAACATGAACGTGACTGCAGAAAATATTGAGTCTGGGTCATAAATAATTTCCTTTATTGTTTATCAAGTTTATTCTTACAATCGTAAAATACAATTCATTTTTATTTAATATTCCCCATTATTTACAATGACTTGTCGTCCATTATCAGGCAAATTCCAATCCATTCTACAATTATCGACCGATCGGAAAAATGCATCTCTCCAATATCTTTTAAGTAAAATTCCACAAGATTTCATGTGAAAAAAACAAACTTTCAACAAACTCTTGAAACGGGTTTTCGTTAGAGTTTTCTCCGTCGAATTAAAAAGACTTATTCCGACAATCCAAAAAATGTTTCAAATAGCCAACAAAGGGTTGATAAACCGTGAAAAATAAATCAGTCAATTTTATTTTTCTTAATTTTTGTTAATTTCAATTCGTCTTCCAAAACTTGACATATTTACTCGGATAATATAATTACCATATATTGGGTGAGGCTAACTAAATTCGACTCGATGATAATTCTAATTTCCTTGTTCTGACAAATAAAACAAAGGTAAGACAGAATTCATGGTTATCAGCAAAAAAGAACATCTACCACTCGTCCCTTCAGCCCCTCAACCTCCGGCGTCTTTGTTGAGGCGCCCACTCGGTCTGAACCCCTGAGTTCGGTTCATCCGAGTGGGCGGCAGGAAAATTAGAATGTGACAAACAAGGAAATAATATCTGCAGAAGCCGAACAACAATGGGTAAAATATTGGTGTATTTTATATAAGAAAACAACAGTAGAAAGAGTTTACAGAAAGGATAGAAAAGCAATTAACATAAGAACAGAGGACCACTCCTCTACCAATTATACCAACAGAGAGAGGTGTGTGTGTGATTAACTTGTTCCAAATCAACTTGGGAGGATATGTGAGTCATAATTCCAGTCCTACGTGGAAGTGTAGCTTTTCAGTTGGTTGTCGTAAGAGACAAATGACTCGCCACTGGACCCACTCACTGCAACGACAGTCTCTCTCTCTCTCTCTCTCAACGTCACTCTCGTCTAACGCCCAAGTCTCCCCAACTCAGCAAATCTCGCGTTTATATAGCAACCCGAAGGTTATAAGCCAGGTTGTTCACGCGCTTTACACGAGTATCGCCATAAGCAAAGTTTAAATTCAGATCTGCTTCAAATCTCTTAGTGGATAAAATTAATTAGTTCAATGTTTATTTCAATTGTCTTTTTGATGACCAAATTCAGGCTGGTTTTCAATCTGCCTTATCTTAAACTTAGCTAGCTACAATTACTGACCCAAACATACCACAGTATTCCTTCCACCGAAACAACATATTCTTACCATTCTCACTACAGTCACCATAATACCTCAAGTCTCTATGAAGTCCTAACTAGTTCCCATATGTACAGTTTGTCTGGGGGTTGGGAGTAAAAATAACAACTTTTTAAAAAAGCTCATCAGAACAACTGCAATGAAAATGTTTATAATAATGATATTAATCAACTTTGAAATTCAAACTACCTCTCTGTTAATCTTTCCATGGTTGAGATTACCAAAGACTTAAGTTGTTAAATCTAAAAGAAAAATCATTAGACGCTTAAACTTAATTCACATTTAAAATCGGTCCAAATTAATGGAACACCCTTTATAAGTGTGATCCTTCTAAATACTATAAAATCCTTAAGGACAAAATTACTGATAATTATAAAAAGATTTCAACAGTAGAATTTTTGAGATAGACAATGTGACAGCTGAGTTTGTTTTGGTTTTACGGCATATCAACCTCAATGGGTCATTTAATGCCGAAAACATTTTTATTGTTGGTAACTTTTTTTTTTTTTAAATCTATTTCTAGTAAAATTTTTCCTTCAAAAAATCTATTTCTGGTAATGATTTTCTTTCAAATATGTATCACTGGTAATATATATTTTTCTTTTTCTTTTCAAAAATATATTGCTTATTTTTCCAAAAACGTATATCTGGTAATATTATTTATTTAAAAAAAAAATAAATAAATAAAAAAAAAAAAAACGTATAGCTGATAATATTATTTTTTTAAAACAAATAGCTGGTAATATTATTTTTCAAAAATTTAGAGCTGATAATATTATTTTTCCAAAAACGTATAGCTGGGAATATTATTTTTCAAAAATGTTTAGCTGGTTATATTATTTTTTCCAAAAACGTATAGCCGGTAATACTATTTTTCCAAAAACGTATCGCCGGCAACATTATTTTTTTTCAAAAACGGTCTTTCTGTTGGACGTAGTTTATCATCATACCCAGGACGCGGATGTACTTTATCGTCATACCCAGGACGTGGATATAGTCTGGGAGTTAACTATTTGACAGGGTGGACCTGGGAACACCAGCAATTAAGAGATGGTTCCACGATCCTCAAAACCTCCTTATCAGAGGCCTTGCTGTTGGATGTAGTTTATCGTCTTACCCAGGACACTGATGCAGTTTAACGTCATACCCAGGACGGGACAGCTGAGTTAGCTAGTAATCTTAATATTAGTGATAGAATGGGGAAGATCCATACGAAAGACGCATATATCTTATTCAAAGACCATAAACCCAATTTCTCGAATAATACTCAAGCTAGATTGATTAATCCCGCTAAATCTGAGTTAGGTATAATTCAAAAAATATAATTGATAAAATTACTGGCAAACTACTAATCTCAACTGGTGCCAATCTTTGGAAAGACTCTTCAGATAGCATCAACTGACTTAATAAATATGAAGGGCAAAAAGAGAGCAACGCTTATTAAATTCGATATCGTTGATTTTTACTCTTCTATTTCTAGAGACCTTTTAAGTGATTTCATAAACATTTTAGTATTGACAAGCTCCAGGAAATTTCTATCTTAGAGAAATCTCTCGAATGAAGAGGTAAATTGGGTACAATTGAGTTTCATTTGTATGTAATTCATAATATATATATATATATATATATATATATATATATATATATATATATATATGTGTGTGTGTGTGTTGAGGTAGCAATCCTTCTTTTTATGCACATTTCATTGAATACGACAGACAAGCTGCTTATATTTAGTTTTTTATACAGTTTCTCATGCGATCTAATAATTTTTTGCTTTTCAGATGATAAATTATATAAAAACTGTCTAAATAAATAATTATATAGGCCACACTACTTGTTTGAAACGCAGACTCACTCTACGCCTTTCTGACAATAGCTCAATTAGATCTCATTTAAATATTCATGGAGACCTACCAGGCATTATTCGTAACATACTTGTTGACAACACTAATAGTATCATCTACATGCAAAAAAGGCTAAAAATAATGGAAGCCTTATTAATATAAACTAAAAAAAAAAACAACACTTAATAATATTAACTATGAACATGGACACAATATCTTGACCGTGTTTCGAAAAATGAAAACATTTTAAAAAACATACACGCAACAAACTATATATATATATATATATATATATATATATATATACATGCATATATATATAATGACCTATCCATTCAAATGTAATATATATATATATATATATATATATATATGCTTCGAAAGATTCGTTAAAAAATGAGCATACATGATGAAGAAATTCCCAAAATGTAATAAAAACAAAGTTTTATCGTCAATATATTTATGTTATTTTCAAGAGGAAAGGCCAAAGAATTTTTGATGTTAAAATTATTTTTTTCAATTCTTTTTAGAACCTTTTGCAATTTTGGTTAAAAATCTTGTTTTTCTTACGTCCACCTAGGACCACAGATTTGTACGGGACATTTGAGCGTCTTTTTGCAGTGTTTTCACTGCACTGATTTGGAAATTCTTCCAAAATTCAAATAATTGTTGTACTTTATTGAAACTTTCAGAACATATTGAGAAATTAATGAAATTATTTCTTAAATGTTTCGTTTTTGGAAAATCTTGGTAAAATTATTTTTTACATCTGTTAACTTCCTCAACTTATTTAATTTTTATGAAATTTCGAGAAATTCATTTTTGTAGCACTTAATGATTGTATAGTTATTAGGACAAGTCCTTGGAGAATTTAAATGATCAAACAGGATCCCAGTTACAGAAAATCTATTCTGAATCGTAAAATAAAAAATGCAATAAAACTATGACATTATTCAAAGATATAAAAAAATATATTTTATAGACATAATTATCTTGAGAAATCTTTGGAGAAATAATGAATTTTTGCAAGAATTGTTTCGAAACATTTTAATTATAATAATTTATAAAGATTTAAAAATTTTAAAATTCTGTATTAACTTGTAGCAGTTAGGTGATATTGTTATTAAATAAAATCTATATCTACTAATCATAAATAGAAAATAAGTGACCTGTAATACTTGAAAAGGAATTAAAAAAAATTTTGTATGTATAAAAGTGCCTTTTTTTTTTCTTTTTTTTTTTAATACGGACGTCCATGCACGTCATTATCAGAAAATAAGAGCGGTAACTATAGTAAATTTAAAATTCACTGGTAATTTTCTAGCATCTCAATAAGCAACAATATAAAGGCAAAATACCTAAAATTCAATAAAATATTAGATTATACAGAATATTTTCCTCTATTTTTAAGACTACTGGCGAGTGAAAAAATTATATGAAAATGCATTTACGTTCTATTCATCAAGTAATTTTTATTAGTATGTGCCCCGTAGAAAAATTTCTCAAACATAAGTCTCTCAAGAAATTGATCAATGACCCATAAAAAACACCCACTTCTGTGTTATAAATGCTTTTCTGCGATATTTTAAGCTAAAAGTAAGTAATATTTGTTTCCAATCAGATTAATTAAACAGTAAATCAGTTAATTTTCATCAGAGAACGTTTAACAAAATTATATTCATTTTTGCTACATCTGGTGGCGAAGCTGTGAAGAAAATTTCGACAAAGTGTTACCCGAACGAATTAGAAGAAATGACATTTGAAGAAATTATTAGAATTATAAAAAGAACATATGACCAAAGAAAAGATTGGTCATCGCCGAAAGAATCAAAAGTTTTTGAGACAAGACAAGCACCAATGAGTCCATTATACAATACTTACATAGATTGGTAGCACGAGCCAAGTATTGTGAATTTGAAAAAATTGGGAGCACCGGAAATGACTATAGAAGATGAATTAATCCTTCTCAGAATAATTGAAGGCTTGCAAGACCAAAAAACACAAACGAAAAAATACCGGAATGTCTACAGAGTAGTAGCGTGAGTTTGGAAGCTAGCGTCGAGTTTTTTACAGCAATTACAATTGATAAGAGAATTTAATCACCCAAAAGAAGAATTCAGACTTACAGGACGAGCACGACCAAATCCATAATTAAATGAAGATATTGTGGAAAAAATCACGAGGGAGACAAGTACAAATGTCCTGCTCTAGGACAATTTGCTCAAATTGCAAAAGGGAGATCATTTTCAGAACGTATACAAATACGAAAAGTAAATAGAGTAAAAAAGGTACAAATCTCCATTCGAAGAAGAAGCTGAAACATTTACAATGAATACACAAAAAAGAAGAAGAGAAAAATAAGGATAAATGGCCAAATATTTCACATGCAAGTTGATACAGGCAGTGAAATCACGTTGATAGCAAAAAATTTCTGGATAAAATTAAGACGACCTAAATTAAAAAAAGCAACATCCAATTAAAGTAATTTGATGGAACCACTATAAAAATAATGGGTACATAGTCGAGAAGCGTTTTGAAATAATTCCCATTACAGTTGTAGAATGCGAAAAAGATCACGGATTACTACGAATTGATGTATTAAAAGTAGATACAAGCGAGCCTAATCAATTCCATGGAAATAGAAGAAAATGAAATAGGATTATTGAAAGGCTATAAATAAGCATTCGGTTAAGAGAAAATTATCATCTAAAATATATAGAGTCAAGAAAAGTTCCAATTCATATACTACCTTTGGTAGTAGCCAAATTAAACAAAAAGATACAAGAAGGCATACTAGAAAGAGTAACTCAAGGTGGTAGCAATTGGGCGTCACCGATAGTAGCGATAAAGAAAACCTGACAGGGATTTAAG